ATGGCGAGATATTGATTTTTTCATAGATTGTCAAGGAAACACATATAATAACAATTCATCTGGAGATCTTTATTGGCGATTATTGAAGTTTAAAAGAGTTATGTGTGGAAAGATAAAGCCACTCTATTGTTCAAAGATGGTATATCTCAGATTGGAAGGTTTAAAAATCAAAGATGCGTTGATTAGTGCGATTCTACGCTCATGTCCAGATATACGTATTCTCATTCTTGATCGAAGTTATGGTTTTAGTAATATATCAATTATAGAAATTGCAAAATTTTGTCCGAAATTAATACACTTAAGTCTTAATTCATGTAAATGTCTCACTAATCGATGTATTACTGAAATTACCCACTCATGCCCAAAACTTAGACATCTTGAGCTTGGTTATTGTTCGATTGATAATAAAGCTGTTGAGGAGATATCACGCAATTGTACTAATTTGAAATATCTTAGTTTGAAGGGATGTAAAGGGGTTAGCGAAGAAGTAATGAAAAAACTCAATCCAAAAATTAAAATCGAACATCCAGATTATTCCGATGATGAATTTTCAGATTCTGATCTACCTCCACTTATTCCAGACTTTGCAGGTCAAATAGATAGAACAGATTTAATTTCTACAATCATTGTTTTATTCAGAGAGACTGGCGGGATTAATCTTAATCATTCATGGTTTACCAATAATTTTATGTAGTAGCAGAGAATGGGTAGAGCGAAGCTCATTGCAAAGCAATAATTATTTACCGAGTTATTTTTTCAGTTATAATATATATAATTAAATAATATTTGACATGGTTTTCATAAAAACAATCGTAGAGGGAAAAATCCCAGTAAAAGCATTAATCGATACAACATCTAAATCCAATACTATTAGCAATCGCTTGTATAATAAGCTTGAAGAAGATTATGGGTTAGAAGGTATATCCGGTGATGATTTGATAGGCAAAGAAATAAAATGCTTAGATTTGCAATTTCGGTATAAAGGAAAGTGGCGAAGCTTAGATGGTACCGAAGTAATAGATTTTCAAATTCGCAAAAATCCATCATTTGATCTGGTGTTAGGACGGGATTGGTTATGGATGCGCGAAGCAAAAATTAGCTTTGGATCTTCTCTGGAAAATTGTACGCGCTATGCTAAAATTGAGATAGATGGTATGAGTATCCCATTAATCGAAGAAGATAGCAGGCCCACAGGCGACTCTTCGACTCATAAAACCAGCTCTACTAAAAATAACTCATCTTTTGCAAAGCAATGGGAGTTTGTCCCTAATTCAACAGAGTCTAAACCTGGTCTAGCTCAAGAGGGAGTTATGAATATAATTAACAAAATTCTCTCAAATATCGAAGATAATGTTTCCAAAAATAGCAGTACTAGCAATAAAAATAGGGTCAAATATTCCACGGATTTTGATACTTCTTCCAATTCAGATATTTCAGACTCAAGTGATTCTTCGTTGTCTAGATTGCGATCAGAGGTTGCAAATATGCATAAGACTGCATCTGCAAAGAAACATCCTATTAAGCGAAGATGTTGCAAAGTAAAAAGAAAATCTAATCAATTATAACAACTGGTGCGAGTGGAAGGTCTTTGAATCTTTTTTCAATATAAGCTAGAATTTTTCTTGATCTGCTATTAATTCTCAAAAAAACTGTTTATCTTCCTCTGTAATTGGAAGACGAATTTCTTCAGGATTGAAACCTATATGTTTGTTATAATAAAATAATATATTAATTGCAGAAAAGCTAAATTAAAATCACGTGTGTCGATCACTTTGCTAGAAAAAATGAATGTATCTAGTACTTTAATATAATACGTCATTATACATAGGATATTAATATGTCCCGCAAATCTAGAAATAACAGACGTAAAACTCAAGGTAAATTTACCACGAACAAGATGTAAAGGAGGTATTTGATTATGAAGAGGTGTAGATATCTAGAGATAAATAATAGTAAAGTTTTTTTGTCGATCATATAATTTATGCATATATTGAATCGGCCACATAAATACATGATTTAGAATTATTTCAATAATATAATTGGCGCGAGTCAGTTTTATACCTTTGTTATTATCTCGATTCCAATTCCATTTGAAGAGAAAACTTGTATGAATTGATTATAAATTTTATTCCAGTCCTCCATAAGATCATCTAGCCATGCAGTACTTAAACCACTTTTTAGTATACTGCGACGTAATAATTCTTCTCTGATTAGCCTATCCCGATCTGTTAAAAATTTATGATATTTTCTATTATCTTCCTGCTTTTTTATTCCATCACGGTAAAAGCGTATATCTTTCTCCAAGTCTTCACGGAAGCATCCCATAGCCCACCTATTTTTCTCAGCCTCAGTAATGACTGAAAATTTCTCGGGATCCATTCCATGTTCGATGGCATATTGATAAAGACATTCCATCTTATTTGAACCGATTTCTTTGGAACTATCTGAAGAATTGCAAGAGGTAGACATATGTGCGTGGCAATTTGACACGCCGATCAATTTTTGAGTTTCAGATGATGATACTTTCGCATCTAATTCTTTAGTATAAAGATTTATAATATTTTGAATCTGATCATCTTTTAAGCTCGAAATAGCGCTTGCACTATAAGATATTTGCCTAATTTTATCTATTCCTATTCCTTCAAACAATATATAAACTTTTTTAGCTTTGAAAGTTCTATTACGCAAGTTTACGTTAGTAATATCAGGGAGTAACAATTTTATTTCGTTATATACCAATGTTCTTGCTGATTGATCATTAATATTATTTATATGCTTAACATCTTCAATTCTATCCTCATATGCTTTATAGTAACAATACCAGCATAAAATCTCCTTTTGTAAAGTCTTCATAGCAATATTAAATAAATCAACTATAGTTTGTGACATAACTTTACCAGATCCTTTTATAATTGCTTCTAAAGAGAATTCGGGAATATGTATATCAAATACATTATTAATTTCACTATTATCGTTTTTGACGCAAACGGATAATTCATCCCTTAAACCTTGTTCTACTTTCTGGTTATAGGGAATTTTCGATATTTCGGAAGGAATAGTATCTTGGGAAATCTCAGTTGTAGAATTTATTTCGGAAGAAATAGTACGTTGAATCTTCTTTTCTCTGTTTCTCTCCTTCATCATATTACTAACCCTTTCCTTTTCCGTTAGATCCAGAAAATCATTAATCTTTTTATCTTCCAACGATTTAGGATCTGTACGAATGGGTCGTTTTATTTCAGAAGAAACGGGTATTTCTTCACTTACTGAAGTCGTGTTATTGTCTTGCAAGCTCTCTTCCTTGATTAGTGAGACGTCGTATTCCAGTTTAGCTAAAGTGTTGCTTTTTTCTTCATCTCTCCGTTCCAGTTTAGCTATAGTGTTGCTTTTTTCTTTATCTCTCTGTTCTAAATTCGTGAATCTGCTTTCATGTTCTTCTAAAGCTTGTTTTAATTTTGCGTTTTCGGCTTTGACCTTAGCATTCTCTTTTCTAAGTTCATCAATCTCTGCTACGAGTTTGTAATTTAATTCCCTTAACGAGTCTGAAGATTCAACGATTTCGGATTGAGTGTTTTCCATTGTTTTTTTATATGTATAAAAAATAGATTTATTCAAAATGTAAAAAAACACGTGCGCGTTATAATTTATAACGCCGATCATTCTTGGCAAGAAAAATAGTCAAGCCTAAAACGAAAAAAGTTAATTGCAATCTTGATCCGGATTTTGATGGACCTATCATTTACATTCTAAAATAATAGTATAAAACTATTTAGTCGCATATAAAAATAATTTTTACATATCAATATCAATAAAGTTTTAAAGTAACGACCACCACGGTCGGATTTATTTATGCGGTAAAAAATAAAATAAGATACAGGATAGATAAAAATAATATAGATAATAATGGAGTTTTAATTTTCATATGGAGGGGATGATACTGTTGAACTATCTTCTTTATCTCCATGTGAATCACGATCCGCATTTAATAATAGTGATAGGTTGACGATTAGGATTCTCTATAAAAAAAAGTTAGATATAGATTCGCCATAAAAAAATAGACAAATAAATCCATACCCGAAATAGCAATAATGTCTCCACAAAATTATAAACAGTATCTCTATCTGTGAATTGTATCGGGATATCCATTGAACGTAATCTAAAAAGCCTATTTATATCATCTTTATCTCGAATAAGGATATTCAGATGAAGTTTTTTTCCAGCAATTTGTATCCCAATAATTCCGAATTCATCTTTTTTTGGTTTACAGCCTTTATGTACCCAATACATACCGTCATTCATCTCTCGCCATAATTTTACCCAATCGTTTTCTTCCTTATCTTTATCACAAAAAATACGGGAGCATTCAGCAAACATTAATTCATAAATTTTTTTCCCACGCTTCACCATAAACATAATGTCAGGACGTTTGCCAGTCTTTCCTCTTCGATCTTTACTTGCTATACTCTGTCGTTCCGCTCTAAATGAATAAAAAATATAAATGTATGATTATCCGGAAAAGATAATAATATTATACTTACGTGCTAACAAAAGCGAAACTTTTTATTGGTAATTTTTTTAATGAAGCTTTCACCATAGGAACTATAATATCTGTAACATATGTTCCTTCATTCTGAGATTTAATAAACTTATTTCCAAATGCTGGATTCCTCCAAACATCACCTCTGTTCAAATAGCAGAAAAAATGTAATCAATATTTTTTTAGAATAAAATCCATATTATACTCACATTATATCGAGAATTCCAGATGCAATTTCTTCGAGAACTTCTTCCGACTCATCCCAATTTCCATGTGAGAGTTCAATAGGTATTTCCTCATATAAGGTATTGCTATAAGTCATCACAAATTCATCACACACATCTCTGATACGATGAGGGGTTAATCTCTCCATACGTTCTACTGGCTCCATAAAATCTTTATATTCATTTTCTGCCTCCACAGATAAGCGCTGTATAATATCCGAATCGTAACTAATTACTTGACTTGCTTTTGGATCTTTCCATGAAAGGTCAGAAGGTTTGATTTTTTTAAGGTATTTGCTTAATTTTTTGGCATATGGAGCTGAACTTTTACCAAGATTCAACTTTAATTTCCGTAAATTCGTTTCAATCTCCTCAATAGACACCTCTTCATCTCGCTTCGCAAAATCAATATCTCTAAGGCTACACACACCTTCGAAAGCATCATCAAACTAGCGTAGAAATAAATAAGTTAGATTTGGTTGCTCTAGAGAAACTTATAATAAAAACATGTGCACACTCTTCAGAATATATTATGTAAAATCACCAACTATGCGTGGCCAGCACATAGATGACAATTCACATAATTCGTATATAATATCCATCTCAAACCAAGACAAAGAAGACTTCCCCATGCGTCTAAGGATTAATACAATAATGATTAAACCTGTGCTTGCAGGCTCTGGATATCTACTCAATCTGGTTTTAAGATTCTACGCTATTCATCATTCGATGATAAAAAATAATTTTTGAGAGTAGGAAAAAAACTAACCTTAAAAGGGATCTCATTAAGTTTTCTATATTTCTCCGAATTCTCTTCAAGCTCATTTTTTATAGCCGTGATCACATTATGAATCAATTGTCTCGAATCTTCTTTTGGAAATCACGGCTCTTCTTCTATTATTTGATGGACTATTGAAACTGCAGTAATATGTTCTAGGGGGGAATTATGAAGAAAATTATAAACTTTTTTGTATAATCCTGTATTAGACATTTTACGTAGTTAAATTGTTATAAAAAAAAAGATTAAAATATTTTAGTGCTAATGTAAAAGCGTCGAGTAACAATAACTTCGATATACTGTCCTTTTAAACGTTTTCGTTCATCTCTTTCTAAATCTTCTTTTGGATCTATAGAATGGGTATAATAAAGTGGAAGAAAGTAGTATTTACGCCAAAAATTTCCCACACAAAGAAAATGAATGTAATCAATCGAATTTGGTAAATCGTACAAATAAATCATGCAGGGTCAGGTGGTTGCACACATCGAAATTCTAAAAATAATTTTCATTACATAGCCATGTACAACATATCGATTATCTGATTGATTATGCAGAGGGATGATCAAAATTTAATTCCCTTCTTTACAATTAGAAAAATATGAAAAAGACACTCAACTATTCATACCCACATTTAAGAGCGGAGCTCATACCAAGGCATAGTAAGATCCCGTAAAATATATGTATGAACTTCCTTTTAATTTTCACGAAGAAGTTACGGTCAGGGAATTTATTGGAGGTAAGTATACACTTATATACTTGAAAAAGTGGATCGCAGAAGATCAGGGCCATGGATTAAATGAAAGACTTAAAGCGCATACAACAGGTACATAAGTGCCATGATTCATAGAAGAGACAGAGTCTCGAATCTTCGATTCATCGCCCAATGGCCTGCTCTGCAATAAAAATAATGTGACTTTTTTCGTTTATGGCGATGTGATGATAATATTCAAAGTGGATGTATCAAAGAAGTCAGACGCATCAGATATCGGTATGGATATTCTTACTAAAAATGCAAATCAACAAAAG